TAAAGAAACCTGTTATTTTTAAGCTGTTATTTTAAGCTGTTTTTTTATAAATAACTATAACAGTTTCAACTGTTATCTAAAAATAACAGTTTTGCCCATCACTAGTCTAGGGTAATTGAAAGCATATTGAAAGATTCCAAACATTCGATCATTTGTTGTCAACTAATGTCAAATTTGTGCCTCAACTCTTGTAAAATGATGCAAAGTGATAAAGAAACTGAGTGTTTCCCAGCAGAAATTGATGAAGCGGCGAATAGAATTACTTTTGATTTATTACCCAGCAAGTCCAAGGATCAGTACGAGTTTTCATACAGGGTGGCCCATCGAAAACGTTCCGCAAGGCATAACGGCCAGGGTATTTTTTTTTTAGAAAATTCAAAAACACGTCAATTTTGTTTGTGAGGGGGACAACTTTTGCCCCAAAAATAATTGCAAAATCTTCAACCCTCTAAGCGGGGGTGTTATCCCCCAATTTTTTTCAAATGGAAAAGGAGGTCAAGTGATACCGCAATGAAAAGGGCTTTCTATCCTCTATACTTTCCGGCTTCGTTTTTGAAAATCGGTCGAGTCATTGAGAAAATATGAAGGATTGATATTTGAAAAGTTTATTTAAACATTTGTCAGAGTAAATGATAAGAGTAAATTCCTTCGACCAATTTGCTGTTTTTTCTAATTATTTTTGGATGTTTACGCATTTTTTCACTTGTCACAAGGTTGAACGATCAGGTGCGGTAGTTGCTAGATAGCTGTTCTGTGACTTATGAGTTGAAGTTCTTCTCAATATCGTTTAGCTTTTTAACAATTATTATGGTGTACTCCCTTGCAGAAAAAGTAGAAATAATCGAACTTTATTTTAAAAATAATGAATGTGGCAATCGGTTTGCGCAGATATTGAATGAACGTCATCCTGACAAACACCTTTATGGCAAAATTGTTCGCGAGTTAGTAGCAAAATTTCGAGAAACTGGTTTTGTTATGAATAAAAAAAGGCAGAGGGAAAATCCTGTAGTAAATGAAGCTATGGAGGTATTCGTATTGGGCCAAGTTGCCATGGATAGTACGCTGAGTACAAGAAAATTAGCCAATGAGACCGGCGTGAATCGTACAAATGTCCAAATGATATTAAAAAAACACCGTACAAAATTCAGGTGGTACAAGAACTCAACGAAGACAATTTTGATCGTCGCTTGCAATTTTCTGAAACTATGAGTGAACGAGTGGCGAATGATAATAATTTCCTATTTAATGTGTGTGTTTTCGGATGAGTGTACCCTCTTTTTGAACGATGTAGTTAATCGGCACTACTGTCGGTACTGGGCTGAGGACAACCCCAGGGTTTTTCACGAGGTGAACACACAAAATCCTCAGAAATTGAACGTGTGGGCTGGTATTTTTGGAAATTCTATTGTAGGTCAGTTTAACGATATTGAGAAGAACTTCAACGCACAAGTCACAGAACAGCTATCTAGCAACTACCGCACCTGATCGTTCAACCTTGTGGCAAGTGAAAAAATGCGTAAACATCTAGAAATAATAAGAAAAAAACTCAAATTGGTCGAAGGAATTTATCCTTATCATTTACTCTGATAAATGTTTAAATAAACTTTTCAAATTTCAATCCTTCATATTTTCTCAATGCCTCGACCGATTTTCAAAAACGAGGCGGGGAAATATAGAGAATAGAAAGCTCTTTTCATTGCGGTGCCACTTGACCCCCATTTCCATTTGAAAAAAGTTGGGGGATGGCACCCCCGCTTAGAGGGTTGAATATTTTGCAATCATTTTTGGGGCAAAAGTTGTCCCCCTCACAAACAAAATTGACGTGTTTTTGGATTTTGTGAAAAAATAATACCCTGGCCGTTATGCCTTGCGGAACGTTTTCGATGGGCCACCCTATATAATCGATATGTATATGCATGCATATGTAACGCATGCGTTAAAAGTTACATTTTTACTGACGTTTGTAGAAAAAGATCTTTATATCATATAAAGTTTACTAGAGTATTTTATTAGAGAAAATAAGAAAATTTTAGTTAAATATTATAAATAAAATCACCAAAAATGATCATCATAGACACAGATATTATTACGATTAATGTTGACTTCCTATTACAGTGTTAGAACTGACTTTATGTACAAAGGTAAAATTTCCTTCCTATCTAAAATATTATTTCACATATTCTTTCATCGTTGAATCATATCCAAGATATTTCTAAATAAGTTTCGATAAAATATAAACAGTCGAAAAATGAATCTTATAGAAACTGCCTCGGATATGTTTCGGACTCTCGTACTAGATCAAAACGATTTAAAAATAGTTTTATGCCGAAAAAGTTGCTTATATACAGGAAGCTTATATTAGTTTTTGAGGTTGTAAAATTTCGGAAACTTATTAGATGATTGTAATAGAACATTCTGAGTTATTAAGCATTTATGAGAAAAATCTCTAAGCGATTCAAAACTAATATTTGTAAACTGAGTTAAAAATCAAGGAAAATGAAATCAAACTTAGTATTTTCTGTTAATTTTGGAAATTTCATCTGTCAATTCAAAAGACTAAGGAAACAGTTGAATATTATATAGGGTGTTTCAAAAAACATCTGTCGTGGGAGATTCCTCGTGTAAAAATAAGATTTGCTTTTCATATCAACATACGTCCGATTCTGCTTCGTTTCGTAGCTACAGGGGGGTAAAGTCTTTTAGAACGTTTTTTACCCAAACAGCATTTGGACGTCGGGACAACTTTGTGTCACACGACCAAACGTCGGGGCGCAACCTCGTGCCAACCCTAGTCTGCACTAGTTTGGAGAATAATTTTTGGGTCGAAACGACGTTGGATACCGACGTTGGCTAGCAGCCTAATTTAGTACAAACTGCAACGTTGTTTAAAATCCTAATTCACAGAAATACAAAACTATAATAATATGGCGTCTAAGTTGCGTTTTATCCTAAATTGGGATAATTATAGTAAAAATATTATTTTTATGATTTAGTTAGAGACATATGCCAGATGGCAGTAAAGGAAAACAAAACAAAAGTATTTAAGTGTGGAAGATGTTTGAAGATCATAATTATTGAAACACTTTAACCGACTCTGTAACTCGTTAAGCAAGACAAAAAAGTTAAAGGCAAACAACTTTATTGATAAATGTATTGTTCCTACTTTGAAAAATACTAATGGGCCTCAAAATTAAAGAAGTCTTAAAAAATTTCATGAATTTTTTTTTAGTAAAATGAGAATAATTTATTCGCAGTCGAAAAAATTGTTTCCGCGTGTTTTTTAGGGTCAAATATTTCAAGTTAATGGATTCAAAAAGCAGGAATTGCTATTTTAGGAACAAAACATTTTCTTATTCAACAACATGGCGGCTTTCACTTTGTTGTTTTGGAGATTAAGATGGAGTAGTTCAAGTAGTCGCATACCCTGGACTAATAAAATCGCAGTTCAGCCTTAACAGGTAGTATACTAGTCGCAAGATTGCCTAATTTAGTCATCCTAGAGTCTAGCTTGTGCCGCCCTCTATATTCTAAACAAACGAGGGTGTGGATAAAGTATCGGTAATATGTCGATGTATATTTAAATTTAGTTTTATATGTACTTTCTTATGTCCCATTTTAATTAAGTTTTTTTTTATAAAAACAAAAACAGCACTGAACTGCCTGACTGAACGGAACAATGAAGTGAAAATTTAAGATTTAAGGTTATGGTTCAATACAGTTGCAAAAAGGTAGTGGTTCGACGTCCTACCAACGTAAGAATAAGGAAATCTAAACAACGTTGGAATTAGTAAAACAGACGACGTTTGCATAACGTTGGAATAGGTCCTGAAAGTGACGTCGGGAAACTCTTTATTGCCCAACATTGTAACTACGTTGTCCGAATCACCTAAAGATCACTTAAGCAAAAAAGGTTACAAGACAACGTTTATTCGACGTCGCAGAAGCTTTTACTTTGTTGTAGTACTAGTTCAACGTCCGTTACAACAACGTTTACATTTATTTTAATACACAAGGTAGGGAGCTAACTATTTTTTGTAACTAATCCAACGTTGTGTTTAGTAAACATGTGGTCGCAAGTCGTGAAAATGCTACTTGGGTAGTTTTTTCTTTTTTTCGATTTATTATAATTTTCTTCTTTTAGCGATTTGAATGAAATTTTGAGGGTAAAAGTTCAAATCAAAAAAGTGCAACATATTTTAATGCTAAAAAGTGTCAACATATTCACCAGGGACGTGCATATGGGTTATCACTGGAACATTTTTTGGAAAAAAGCATGTGCGCCACAGGCTTTTTTCTCTTGTTAGCAAAATTGTGTAGACCGTTTAATGCCGATTTAAAATTGTCTCCAAACCTGTCACAAATGTATAGCTTTAAATTCACATAAAGATTTTTTAGTTTATAAAACAACTTCAAAAAAGTATTTTGAAAAATATTCCAAGAAACGAAAAATATTCTTTCGGTTATTTTAACTATATTTTATACTGTTAGTCGGATTTATACTTCTATAATTACATAAGTAATGCTTAATATTGTTTTTATTCTCATTAATTCTATTTTAATCTTAAACGAATTAGATTAATATCAATCTCACTGATTTTTTCTCTCCAATAAAAGACCATTAGCTAGTTCTCTAAATACAACTACGTTATACTTACTTATTTGGTGTTTTAATTTTATCTCTTTAATTGTATGTATCTGTTTATATCTCTAACTACGTACGATTACCAAAAATATCTGTGGACAATTTGTTTTCTCTTTTCTCTTACCAAAGATGAGTTAGTTTTTAGGTATTTGCGGATCATATAAGGTTTATGAATGAAATTATTACACAGTGATATACAGTGTACGAAAAAAACGTTCGCAACAAATGGAAATGTTTTTGATTATTGAATTTCCACAAAAAAGTCAGCATGCCCAGTAACTAAATGTTTATTTTATACAGGGTGGTCCGAATTGTAATCTGGAAACTTCGGCGACATATTCTGTAAATAAAAATAAATTAAAAAGTTCTTATACATATAAGCGATACCAATTAAACTTTTAGTTACATAATCGAGGGCACAATTTTTAAATTGATTGTTACTAATCATGGACATATTCGATGCCGAGTTTAATTTTATACCTATATATGGCAAATTTTCATAAATATACGCTCAATATATCGATTTGTTGCAAACTTTTTGGCATACTCCCTATAATATCGTAACTGTTAATTTTTTAAAATAAAACTTCACAATTATATATACTTAAACGAATTCTTTAAAAAACGTCCACATTACCGTAAGTCATCTACTATATACATAGTGTTCAAAGTAAATCAACAACGCGAATCAACATTAAAAATAACGAAATCAAGTTTAACTAATTCGAAGGCTATAACGATTTCAGGAGTATAATTAAATTTTATTTTCTTCCTGTTAATATATTTAGTATTATTTGATTTATGGGTAAAGTGTTTTCTAAAACGGCGATATAAGTTCTATATTGACATGACATTTATCGATACATCACGTCTGCTTTGACATAGGAGTTGGTTTGGTAATAATAATAATTTACATTTCAAAAAACACCTTCAATAATATATTAACGCGTGTCTTACAATAACCTTAAATTTCAGGCCTTGATAACATATAAACCAAATAGTTTTCAATGCAGAACTGCTTATTAATTTTAAAATCGCTTTTATCCATTTATTAAGCTACAAAAACAGTTTTAAATAACGTATATCGTACGGTTTAAACGTATAATTAAGCATTAAGTCTTCTTCACTCACTGAAACTTCGTAGTGGCAAACCAAAGACATATTGAGGAAAAAAATATAACCAATAAACTATTAATTAATAATAAATATAAATAATAATCACAATTATCACTCAAATATATTTTGAGTCTCATATTCTTGTAAAATTCTACTTCATAAAACAAAAAATGCGATTTTTTTCTTCGGAAATGTCTTTGGTTATTGAGCCACGCCCTTAGAGCGACGCCACCACGCCCTCCGGCCAATAAGAACGGCGAATCGCAACACTTGACCGTACCAGCAGGTAAGCGCGGCGCCGTAGCGCTTGTACAACAGCCAGAGACCGCCCACTAGCCCCGCCCAATATTACGCAATTGAACTGCCCGACATGGTGGTGATGCAGGTTTTCTCGCAGGAGTCGGTGTTTTCCGAGTTGGACCGGACCGCTTTGGGCGTGCCGGGCGGGTTCTGTTCGCAGTTCTCCGTGTTGTTATTGGTGGAGGCCCGTCTGGACACCTCCCTGGAGGCGGTGCGAACGTCGAACACGCTACATTCGCTCTCCAAGTCACTGTTTTCAAGCTGGAGCACGTTGACCTAAAATAAAATAATATTTTTATTGTACTATTCTGACAATTTTTTTGAGATAACAGATAAAGCATGAATGCAATTTGTCAAACACATTATTTCGAATGAGCACTCGTATCAATTGAACATATTTAAAGTTGAAATTTAGAATAAAGCTTAAGAAAAGTGTATATTTGATTTAGACAAATCAAGCAACCGATTGGATATAAAATAGGAAGAAAAAAATATATTTACTTCCTTTTGTTACAAAATTGCTCAACTCCTTGTTATTTGAATTCAACTTTCTGTGTATTATTTAAAAAATGAAGAAAATAATATTGCTTTAAAAACACTAATAATATTGCTTTTCTCAATAATATTGCTTGTAACTCAAACTTATGGTTTCTTCGGTAAAATAATTTTAAATACATTTAATAAAAAAAAAACATTTTCTCTAAAGAAAATGGTTACCATGAAAAACAATCAAACTTTTTAAACAAAAGTATCAATTAGACTTTCCTTACAATATTTTTAAAATTGTCTTCTCAAAATTCTTGAAATAAAACCACCTCCCTACATAAAGTATGGTCCAACAAGTCAAGAAAGATTTCGACAGAAGACATCCAGCAAATAAAATTTTCCTCTAAATTAAAATGACCGACATATGTCACTGTCATGTATTCTCTAGCTGGACAGACTTGTTTAAATACTATACACCATTATATGCATAATTCGACAATCTATGATACACATTTTAACATTGAAGTGTTTTCGCAATAAGGTAAAAAATATTAAACATCCTAAAAATGCTTTGAAGCCTGAATGTAATCAATAACAGCTAATTTTTTTATAATATAGTGCAATTTGATAAATGAAATACGTATTTACTTGTCTAGTGTTAAGATACAATTCACTGGAATCCGACCCACAGGACGAGCTCTCTGACAAGTCTGTTGTGAATTTTCTTTGGGCCCTAGGACTAGGTGGAGGCCTTCTTGTGCAAACCTGCGCTTGGATATGCTCACAAACCCGTCGAAAACGTCGTATATTACCTAAAAAATAAAAATCATACAAAAAATTAACAATAAGAACATTAATTTAGTTTCAAGTCAATATACCTGATAACAACGTGAAAGTTATGGCATATAAATGTTCCTTGGCATTCTCCGTTTGCTTCGTTATAATGGAAATGTCAACTTGAAATCGCACGTGCCTCTGGAACATTGCCGGTCCTGCCGTGCCCCTCTTATATTCCACTCGGAATGACATGGGACTTGAGACGGAATGACTCAACTCTGCTATCTATAGAATCAAAAGAAACATAGTTTATCTAGTAATGAAACTAACAATCTTCTAGATTACCAAGGTATTGCAAGTATTGCACCAAGGTGTGCAAGTATTTTAAGAGGTGGTAGATATGGCCAAAAGAAACATATTTCCTCTTTACCATTTGTATAATACATTGATAATAATCGTGTTATTTAACTTTGAAAATTTAAAAAAATAATGGCAACATTTTGAGGGCAATTACCCGGATCTTAGCTTGTTCGACGCCCAGTGTTGACACATCGACTAGAAAGATTTAACTTGGGCGCACATTTCTGTTGGCGAATTATAACCAGTTAAAATATTTGCACTTATTTCTCTGACACTCTGTATATGGTAAATACGAAAACAAAAAAAAATTATAGAACTGTTTCTAATGTTAATGATTGCCAACTTTTACAGAGAGATTTAGATAGAATGGGTGACTGGTGTAAGGTGAACGGCCTTTCCCTAAACGCTAGTAAATGTTCAGTTATAAGTTTTCCCAAAAAAAGATCACCAGGGATTCCCTTTGATTATGATTTGAATCATGTTCATTTGACACGGGTGGATTTGGTCAAGGACTAGGGTATAAGCTTTGATTGTTCTCTTTCTTTTAATGAACACATTAATATAATTGCTAATAAAGCTTTAAAAGCACTGGGTTTTGTATTGAGAAACTCTAAAGACTTGTCGGTATGGGCGTTGCAGATAGTATATTGCTCATTGGTAAGATCAATTTTAGAATATGCATCTGTTATATGGAATCCTCAATACGATGTATCTAAGAAAACAATAGAAAGGGTTCAAAAGAAGTTTGTAAGGTATTGCGCTTTCAGACACAATCAAGAATATAGTTACATTATCAACTTAGACCCATTAAATTTAGAGACTCTGGACAAAAGGAGATTAATCTATGATTTTTCTTTTTTTATAAGATTGTTATTGGCGTATATGACTGTCCTGAGATACTTAGACAAATTGATTTCAAAGTTCCATTTAGGCCATTGAGAATTAATGATCTGTTCTTTATTCCTTTGCATGGCACTAATTATGGAAAGCACTCTCCAATTCCAAGGGCACTTAATTCTCTGAACAAGTTTCATGATGTTGACATTTTTAATGACTCTTACTGGGCATTTAGGAGGAAGATTAGAAATGGGAGTGGTGATTGATGGGTGTGGTTAATTCTTCTTTTTAGTGTACCGCTCTTCTCTTATAAGTGTTTATTGTTTTTTTTTGGATTATTTTTTAATGTTTTTAAGTATCTTTATACGATGTGAAAGAAAAAGAAAAGAATTTTTTTTTTCTTTTTTTTAATATTGTTTTGTAAATTTTGTAATGTAATGGGGTTTCCCGTAAATAAATAAATAAAAAATAAATAATATAAAATAATAATATGTAAAGTAATCGCAAAACAATTTCCGATGCACGTGATCAACTGTGAGTGACAAGCGATGGCGACAGCGCTGCCAGATTGTGATGGATTTATGAGATGAATCTTAATTTAAAATTGGGAAACAATACATTTATTATATCATTTTTTATTATATCATATCATTATATCAAGACTTTTACGTTTTATTTTTAATTGAATAATTATAATTTTAGTAATTAATTTATTTATTAACAGTAGTCACTAACACTCACAGTACCAATATTCAAATTTAAGGCAACAGATACTCGCTACAAATCGAAATAAGTAGTAACTTTGAAAATGGTATAATGCGCTTACCAATCAAATCTACTTCTCTGGCTGCAGTCAAGGGTAATAAAGGACCTTTATTGTCATGTTCTCGTTTAAAATAGTTTATCAGGAAAGCTACAAGCTATTTGCTTCGACTGTTTAAATGCTTCGGCATATTTTCAACACACAATTTCAAGAAATGTAATACAAAAACTGAAAATTTAGTTCTTAAATGAACCGTTTGTGCTTAAAAGTACAATTTTTATAAAAAAGCCTATGAAAATCAGCAAAAACCGAGAATTACTCCAAAAGATTCAATAACAACACGATATTATACAAAATAATTACTGACGTTATGAAAATTGTCAAATAATAAACGACAACGTTGCTGATCGCGGCGCAATGTAACCAATATGGCGATAGTAAAAATCGCTTTAAACTAATTTTTGCAGCTTTAATCTAAATAAAATATCTGTTAAAATCATTTGCTCAATGAAATCAAATGAAGAGCTGCTCGGTATCTGAAATTATACAACAAATTTAAACATTTTTGCCAAAATTTTATTGTCAGGTTTATAGGCTTTAGTGTCAATTTCGATATGATTGATGACGTGCATCGGAAAATGTTTGCGATTACCGTATATGGTAAATACGAAAATAATATGGATGTATAAATCTTACCGATAAGAAAGCATGTATCAGATCAGCCTTTACTGTAGCTAACGGCTTGCCCTTCACCAATATGGTGAAGGTCTCGTCCTTTTCTGTTGTCATCAAACTTCCAAACCAGGACTTTTTCGTTAATTCTGGAGACGACTCGGGAGTTAGATGAACTTCTTCAGAAGAAGCTACAAATAAAACATTAGTAAACCGGCACCTTCAAAATAACGTAAATGTTCAGTAGTACCGGTTTAACGCTTTGGGAGTAGCAAGGTACAGCTTTCCATGCTACAGCCGTTCGGTATACAAGGAATGTGGCTTCAAATAAAATATACAAACTTACTTTGTAATTTTCGCCTGTGAAACCTCGGGGAGCCGAGAAAACTGTTTTTGATAGTGGTCAGTCTCGACCTCCAGTGATGGCTGGTCGTACTCAGGTGCGGCGAGCCGGGCGGGGTCATCGGGGTCAATATATTAGAGCCTGCCACCAAGCTGGCGGCGTCGCTTTCCGGTGACGTCAGCGACATCACCGACGCGCCGCCGCTGCTATTGGCTCGGTGGTGGGTGGGCGTGGCCGGGGGCGGGGTCACCGTCACGTGTGTGTTAGCCGTCACGTGGGCGGAGACGCGGTGAGTGGAGGAGGGGGGCGCGTGGTGGGACGGCGTCGAGCGTTGGCTTACAGGCGAAGACATTCCAGCTAAAAAATATTTATTATATAAAATTGGAGGATATTTAAAAATCATTATGTAAAAACCACTATGTGAATTACTAAATATGTAATTAAAAGACTTACAGTGAGTATTAGTAGGTGTGATACTACTGTTAAACATTACAGGGCTAGAAGCGCCAGATGATCTCGTAGGTGAATGAACACTAAGGCTGCTGTGAGTGCTACCAGTTGAGGGGCTTCTTCTTGCATGATGTCGTCTGAAACAATAATAAATTGAAAAATATATGTTTTGATGAATACATGCTTGATGTTTATATAGATATAGTCTGTCTAAGACAAAAAGACAGAATATCTGTTTCATCTGCCATATTAATAAAAAAATGTTTTATTAAAATTCCAGATAACTGCACAACTACCTGTATTCTTTAACTAGACAGGCAATAGAAATAATCATAATTAAATAACATAAAAATCAATCTTATGCAATTTCTTCCATTAAATTACATTCGTATTTCAATACTTAGTGACTCGCTTTGTGTATCACAAAAGCTAACCACAATGATACGCAGGTTAATAATCAATATAACTATACCGTGCTGGCAACTGTTACTTTTGGGTCGGCATTTACATGTGTGGAAGTAAATCGCATAGGGATCTTATTAAGGCGGAGTGAGAGAAATGCGGCCGACCGATGCGACGCGCGATGGTGTGCTGTTGCGGCGTTGCCGATACGCCTTTCCCTATCAAGTAAAGTAAAATCACGATCGCAAACCGCTTATTTTTAAAAGACTTTTTTTTTCAAGAGATAACTAGATAAAATCATTAGGTTTGTAATGTTTCTGAGCATCTGAAATGGAATTACAAGGATATCGTTAGGGTGTCATTTTTTTATAACGAGAAAACGTCAGTAATCGCGATAATTTAAAAACTCAACTTTTTAACACGTAACAGGCCATAACTCAAGAACCACTTTAGATATTGAAACTTTTTTTATTTTCAAGATCGGATATTTTACAATATGTTTACATAAGAAAAATTCGATAAGGTTGTTTTTTCCATTCAAATTTGTAAACAATCCATCCATTTACTTTTAGAGCATAGCAATTTTCAGCAATCGTGTAATTTTTTTATTGATAAAGATTTTCACATACTGTCTACAAAGAAAATACATCAGAAATATTAACAAAGTTCTTGAAAAAACTACAATCTATTATTTCTAATAGATTTCGAGATATCGATTTTTGAATTCAGAGTTCTAATAGCGCGACCGCTATCGAACGCCCACTCAATTCCACTTATTTTTACCAAAAATGCAAGTGTTTTTAACTTGCACTTAAAAGTTCAAGCTATAGGGAAAATTACAACGACTCGCTAATAAATAAACAAATCAAGTATCACGAGACGTAATTACATCGTGAAGCTGAACGCATGACGTACACCTTTCCCTAGAACTTTAAGTACCGACAGAGGTATTGATTGGGTCGACCTGTCAACTGCGACAAATCTGCTATGTCCCCTTCCACGTCTCAGCGATGTGCACAGTTACTCGGTTTATTTCATACGTTGGGCAACGTGTTTACTGTCCTCTCTTTGTTCAGTACATTATAAACGCATTGTACTCTTCTTACGTACAGAAATCTCGACCCAAGACTAACCTTTGCCAGCCCTTAGTATAAAGAAGGCGTCCATTCTTCTCAAAGAGACCTGATTCAAATTAAAAAAGTAGAAAAAAAGTAGAAAAAACCTAACCTAACCGAGACTTTTTTCTACTTTTTTAATATAACTATATGCTTACTTATAGTGGGACCTTCTTGGTGTTAGAGGAGATCCTTCGCTGATTTGTCCAAACTGCAAACTAGTCTGCCCGTTCACTCTGCAAGTGTCGATTCTCTTTTTCGGTGGATCCAATGATTCGTTTGGTCGTATCCTTAAAACTGAGTCAGTCGTTTCATCCTCGTACGCAGGCCTGCGTCTTTTTCTTTCCAGCAATAGAAAATATATCACCTTTTCAGTATTATGACTGAAATTTAAAAAAATAACAAAACTGTTAGAATATTCATATAAAATTTTTAAATATAATTTGTTGAAATATCGTTGATAATTATTTCTCAAATAAAGTTATTAAAAAATATATTTCTACACAAATAAATATTGGTAATTTACCTGGGGCTAAGTAGATGTTGAATTAGTTTTTCTTTTTCCTTGAAACAACCCAAACTGCAGATTGCTTGTAGAACATCTGGGTCTACAGCTTCGATGGACGGCAACACGTGTGTCTGTACTACTTCCATCATGGGAAGTTCCAATTCGAGTTCACCCTTTCCTCCAGCGGTTACCCAAGGGTGCTTGTTAATTTCTGTTAACTATAACGTCATTTATTTAGTTCTTTTGTATTTAACTATCACATACAAAAATAATTGTAAACTAATTTTTGAACATAAATTTTGAGAACATACACAATTTGTAATATTTTAAAATTATTTTTGCGTAATAGTTTTAAATACACATTGATATAATAAATAAAATATATCGTCGGTCGGTGAAATACGAGGATGGTCTGAAAAGTTTCCGACCTCAACGTGAAGATGGCAGCACTCGTAGATAAAAGCTAGTTAATTTTCATTGTTCATCTGTTGACAGTTATTCACCAAGTTTCAGCCATTTTGGATGCACAGTTGTTATGTAACAGTCGTTTGAGTGAGTTGATGTCAGCGTTTTTGTGAAAATGGATAAAATCGAGTATCGAGCTGTCATTAAATATCTGGTTTTGAAAGGCAATACGCCTACACAAAATTAAACATGAGTTGGATTCTGTGTATGGGGACTCTGCACCATCATTTACCACAGTGAAATTTTGGGCAGCTGAATTTAAACGTGGCCGTAAGAGCTTGGGAGACGATGAACGTTCGGGACATCCAAAAACTGCAACTATCGACGATAACATCGCCAAAGTTCACCAAATGGTGTTAGACGACCGCCGAATTAAAGTGAGAGAGATAGCAGAGGTTATGAACATATCAAAAGAACGTGTTTGTCACATATTAAATCAAGATTTAGGCATGAGAAAGCTGTCCGCGCGTTGGGTGCCGCGTTTGCTCACGTTAGACCAAAAGCGTGTTCGTATGAACATTTCCAACGCTATGTTGGCGCAGTTTAGGCGCAATAAATCCGAGTTTTGGCGTCGAGTAATTACTGTAGATGAAACTTGGATACACCACTATACACCAGAAACAAAAATACAGTCCAAACAGTGGACGGCAAAGGGAGAACCGGCTCCAAAAAAAAGCAAAACTGTTATTTCGGCTGGGAAAGTGTTTTTTGGGATAGTCATGGAGTTATTTTAATTGATTATCTTCAAAAAGGAAATACCGTCACAGGAGCATACTACACATAATTACTTGACAAGCTAAAAGCAGAACTTACGGAAAACGGCCACATTTACAGAAAAAGAAAATCCTGTTTCACCAAGATAACGCACCGTCTCACACCTCAGCGGTTGCCATGGCGAAAATCCACGAATTACGGTTTGAACTGCTTGACCATCCGCCTTACTCACCAGATCTAGCCCCTAGCGATTTCTTTTTGTTCCCTCATTTAAAAATTGCGCTCGGAGGACAGAGATTTTCGTCAAATGAAGAGGTAATCACCTTCGTCAACCACTATTGCAGAGAAAAACGCCGAATACTATTTGGACGGGTTACAGAGATGGGAGCATCGCTGGGAAAAGTGTGTAGAGTTACAAGGGGACTTGTTCAAAAATAAAAAAAAATATTCAGAAAAAATGTCTTGTATCTTTGTTAGGTCCGAAACTTTTCAGACCACCCTCGTATGGTAAACTGCTAACTCCATTATTCCTAATTTTAGAGAAGAGAAAAGAAACGGTACAAAAAATATGTACACATGTAGCAACTATATTCATGCGTTAATATGATAAGAGATAGCACTAATATTTGTTGGGGAACAATAAAATTTAATATTTCGTTAAAAATGTTACGTAAAAATGATGTATTAGACGTATTATTTACTTAAAATCAAAAATGGAGTTAGTAGGTTATCACGTTTCACTGACGATATAATAAATAAGAGTAAATGTATTTAAGATAAAAAAGTAAATGTATTTCTCTAATAATGTTTTTTATCTTGAATAATACTTTTGTGTATATTATACAGAATATTATTTACTATTTTGTCAGAAATTTGTAGTATAGGTAATCTATATACAGACCGGACCACCGTAGTAGTAACATAGGCAGAACCGGACGAATTAACTTATACCCGTCCGCCGGATAAAAAGCAGGCGAAAAAATGCGATAAAATAATAATAGGTAGATAGGTGATAAGAATGTTTCAGAATTTGTATTTATTCGTGTTTTAATAGCCGAATACATAGATTCTCGCGACAGTTCTCGTGTAAAATTTATTTTTTAAGTAAAAGAATGGATGTTTACGAAGTTCGTGAGAAAATTCAAATTGTACAATGGTATTTAGAAAATAGGTCTTATCGGGATATAGAAACAATTTTTCCACAAACTTTTGTAAACAGGCCAATTCCATCTTTACCTACTATATCAAGAGTTATTAATAATTTTGAAACACATGGGTGCGTGTCCCCACAAAAATACAAAAAGCCTGATGTGTTTATTAATGACGAACAGGAGTTAAAGCAAGTGTTCATTTGTGCTACCGCGGATCAAAATCCCACGTTTTCAAGTAATCAAATTGCTGAGGTGGTTGCCCTGCCCACAATGTCCGTATTGTTCAAGAATATTTGAACAATTTTTTTCCCAATCGTTTAATTAGTGGAAATGGAACTATTTTGTGGCCCGCTAGAACACCAGATCTTTCTCCCAATGATTTCTTTTTGTGGGGTTATGTAAAATCCAAAGTGTATGGTCATAATAGGGCTAATAATCTGGATGAGCTTCAAGTAAAAATACGAGGCTTTCCAAACTATTAGCTCTAATGTGTTAGCCAATGTCAGACGGGGATTTTACGACCGCCTAGTCTAGCACAAGAATATGGTCTTTTTGAACACTTGTTATAACTTTTTTTATTTACAGAAATATTTTAGTTTTTTTTTGGGTTTAGAGAATTTATTTATTTTTAGTTTTGGTTTGTAAACATACTCAAATAATAAATATTTAAGTATATTTATTTTAAATGTTACCTTAAGTGAAGGTAAACACTTAAAATGAAAATAATAAATACTCGGCACTCCTCGCGTCGTATTCCTAGTCTGTCACGACCGACCCGTCCAAGCAAAACTGCAACTGCGTACTGCCTGACCAGCCGACTAGCCGGCGTGAATCTCGAGTACAAACGCAAATCGGGTAAACGTAAATTCGTCCGGCAACTTGCTATGGTACTAGTAGGCTGGTCTTCTCTGTATACTATAAAACACTGTCATTTAATGTGTAATAGTAATACTGCGCAACGTGTAGAAAAAATACTTTCGGAGAATCATATGCTACAAAATTATGCTCAGTTGAAAAAATACTTTTCATTTTTCATACATTTTATATTCAATACTCGATATAAATGACTAAGTAACTACTAATGTCAATGGCTGAATACGAAAAATATTGCTTCATAGTGAAATAAAAAATTGTTTCTCCAAAAAAGTCCTGTGGGTATTTCGCCACTAGAAAAATCTACAAAATAAAATAGTTATTTTTTGTAAACCCTGCTGCGTTAATCCAAAGGAGACTAATTGTCAGCAATGGCTTCCTAATAAACAAATTTGCCTAATGGACAAAAAATGCTTAACGTTTCGGAAAGTATATCTCTTTTCATCGTCGGAAGCAAAAAAAACAAAGAACAAATTAAAAAAAACTATTTAAAATATCTAAAATAATTCGAGAACACTTTAGTTTTTTTTAACAGATACGTATACAAAAACCGCGGTTCAAATTTTATTTTGTAATTTTCTTACATCCGCCACAAAGGTATAGACATTTTTTAAAAAATTGTTGTATTTTTTTTAAATGAGTTAGTTATAAATATCTCTTAAATGTTTTCTTTCTTTCTCGTTAAAATTCCTTATTTGTACATACAGAAACAGCTTTGGTTAGAGAATGTAGTCAAAATAACAGCCAACTACGAAGTAATTCCACACACCACCGCATTATTTACCGAAAAGAAACAAAAAAAAAGCGAATAGGATACAACGACGCTTCAAACTCGATTAAACTGAAACTAGTTGTACGTTGCTCACACCAAGTGGCAATAGAATATCGTTATCTCGCCTCGCTCGTGTTTCCAGTTGTTGCAAAGTTAATTTTATATCGATGACGATCTAATTTATGGGTCGAAAATGCATATTCGTATATTTTCAATTACACAGGTAGGCAGATATATTTTGTTTTATCAAGAATAATGGCTCATATTGTCTACGCATTATTGATAACCGATATTTTAATTAGGAATATGTAATTTTTTTATTGTGTTAAATTTTATTTTTATTTAACAAAGATCTAACTAAAACTGTATCTGATTAACTAAGGAATGTGAGCAATGAAAATTAAAGTAACCATGTGTCTAATTCAAATTTAAATGTCTCATTATTTTCTGATTGCTTGCAAAATTCTGCTTGTCAATGGCAGTTATTTCTGACGCACTTTTGGTAAAATACTTCTTCCTAAAGTAAAACTTAGTTAATTGTATAATAATATAATAATATAATTATTGTATATACTGTAGTTAATTGTAATTAAGACATACAAAAAATATGTTCGTAGTTATGTTTTGACGACATTTAGTATTTCAATTGGTCTAAATATTTATCTTTGTAAGAATAATTCACACTGTTGGTTTCTTATTTGGATTAATATTAATCAAACTAGTCAGATCCATACATTGTTTCAAAAAAGTAAGATAAATATTTAAAAAAATGACTATAGAGGTAAAAGAATTATGCAGGTTTTGCAGAAATGGAATTAACTTATTGATTAGAACTCGCACTTTTAAAAATTATTTTCCTTTGAAAAAAATAAACATATCATAAAATATTTATAATATTATTTTCCTTTAAAAAATCATCCTAAATTTAGGATATAAAAATAATAAGGTCTTCTTACCTTCCAATCATAATTGTTAGATCTGATTCGATTTTAGTAAAAATAAATTTTCAAATGTAATAAGAAGAATGTTTTTAATAGTACGATCAAGAAAAAATAAATTATAGGACCAATAAAAATGTTTGAACTAAAGCAAACATTTGAGACAGAACAGTGGAGATCTGAGTGCAGATCAAAAATTATCAGATCAATTAGTGCAAAATTATATTACAAAATATACCGGATGCTTTTCTAGAGTGGCTCACATCTCAAAAAAGCCCTCAACGTTCATATTATACATTATTTCAACAAGTCTAGCATTTCAAATAAATGTTCACCAAAGATCCATTATGAAACTTTAATATATAAAAAAGTATGGCATGAATCTGTCCTTTAGATTAATCAATCAAATTAAAGTAAAATGTAAAAAAATAGTAAAACGCGCCTCATAGGTGAAAAAATTATGCATTTTATGCATATCTTAATAGTTCACTAATCATACACAAATTTTTAAGAAAATATATTTAAAAAAAAACGAAACGATCATATGTAGAGGATCCAAAATTATGCATACCGTTAGCCTTTTATCTGGATTGATCTCGATCATTCCTCGTAACAGACTCTGACAATCCGGGGGTACAAAGTGCGGGATGTGAAACACGCCTCTTTTTACCTTCTCCAGCAGTTGCCTGAGGTTATCGTCATCAAAGGGCAGAGCACCGACCAATAGGGCGTACAATATCACTCCACAAGACCATACGTCCGCTTTTCTACCATCGTATTTTTCACCCTAGAATGAGATACAGAAGCACAACTTTTAATCTATCTAGTAATGTACATTTGCAGGTCTTAAGACCAACTGCGACCAATATTAAAACAACTAAATCGATGAAAGTTCGTAACCAACGATGTCGCTCCCTTTATCATTGCAGCAGCATCTACAGGGTCCGACGATAGTGCGTCGGGCATCTGTAGCTCCTAGAATAAAAAAACTTGAGAATTTCAGGAAAATATTTTAACTTCTATAGGGTGGCTTAGAAAAGTGTGAGCGGACCTGGATGATTTTTTTTTAAATATAACACCCTGTATATTATTGCATTTTTGGCTTCCTTTCAGATCACTTTACATAACCCTAAGATATGAATATTAAAAAATAAATCAAAAATATATATTTTTCAGCCCTTCTTAAAAAAATTATTAAAAATACAAGAACTGTTCTGAAATCAAAACGATATTAGGTATTTACTTTAGATGGTCTGTTCTTACTTTGCTATAAATATGGTAATGGTAATTCATACAGGATCTTCAATATTCTACGCCAAACTTTCTAAAATATAAAATATTTTTTCTTTGTTTTTTTTTAAATGGAACACCCTGTATATTATTTTTTTATTAGATGGAGTGTTTAAAAATGAACATTTTTTGTATTTAGAGTATTTCAAAATTTTTAACGGTTTCGCAGATACACGCAATATTATTTCATATGGCGCTTTCAATGGTAAAATACGAGAGAAAAATTATTGGGTGGCTTTGATAAAAATTTACTGTGGAAAATGCCATATGAAATATAAAACCGCAAATATCTGCGAAACCGTTAAAATTTTTGAAATACTCTAAATACAAAAAATGTTCATTTTTTAATTCTCCGTCTATTGAAAAAATAATATACATGGCATTCCATTTAAAAAAAACGAAGAAAAATTATTTTATATTTTAGAAAGTTTGGCGTAGAATTTTGAACATCCTGTATAATTTACGATTTTTATATTTATAGCAAAGTAAGTACAGACCATCTAAAGTAAATACCTAATATAGTTTTATTTTCAGAACAGGTTCTTGTATTTTTAATAATTTTTTTAAGAAGGGCAAAAAAAAATATATTTTTGATTTATTTTTTAATATCTCCGAAACTAATCAAAATGTATTTATTCATATCTTAAGGTTATGTAAAGTGATCGAAAAGGAAGCCAAAAATGTAATAATATACAGGTTGTTCCATTTAAAAAAAATCATTCAGGTCCACTCACACTTTTTTGAGCCACTCTATAGAAGTTACATTTCCTGAAATACATCCTGGTACATACTTCAGGTATGCACTTAAACAAAATTCTCAAGTTCTTTATTCTAGGAGCTACAGATGCCCGACGCACTATTGCCGGACCCTGTATAGAGGAGGTAAATAATTTTTATGACACCCTGTATTTTGTCGTTAAATAACAAAGATATGTTACATATTATACAGGGTGTCCCAGAAATAAGTGCAAGTACTTTAAGGGGTGGTAGATCTCGATAAAAGAAATATATTTTCTCTTTATCGTTTTTCAAATAAGCTTTTCCAAACCAAAATAACGGAGTTATTTTACTTTGAAAATTTAAAAAAAAAATATATTTTTTGCTAAAATTTTGGGACCCACTGGATCTTTTCTGGGTTTTCTTTCTTGTAAATTTAATCTAGTACCTATGTTGCCATATTATCAAGAAATTATGTTTTTAACTAAAACCTAGAAAGAAATCCAAAAAATTTTTCAAATTCCGAATTTTCAAAACAAAATTTTTTCGCGAAAAAAACTCATAGGCGTGTTTCTGGGGTTGAACTATACTCCCAGTTAAAATACTTGCACTTATTTCTGGGACACCCTGTATAAACTTATTTATGGATATAAATTGTAGAATGCCTTTTATACAATATTTTGTAAATTTTTAAAATTACTTTGTTTTATTTGCTTTATAAAAAGTAATCTCTAATAATATTTTTTTACCTTGAATAATACTTTTAGAAGTGAATATTAATACACATTATTATTTACTATTTTGTCAGAAATTTGTATCATAGGTAATCAAGGTACTATAACACACTACCAGTTAATGTGTATTAGTAATACTGCACTGACTGTGTAGAAAAAATACTTTCGGAGAATCTTATACTGCGAAATTATGCTAAATGCAAAAAATATATTTTATTTTTCAAATGTATTTTATATTCACGCACAGAATATAAATGACTAAATAACCATTAATCTAAATGGATGAATGTGGAAAAATTGCTTTATAGCTTTAAATAGTGTTGTAAAAAAATAGATGTATTTTTCTAAAAATGATTTAGTTCTCTTAAATGTTGAGAATGAAATACAAAAGCAGAAATTTTAATATATCTAGTATTGTACATCTGCGGGTCTTAAGACCAACTGCAACCAATATTAAAAAAAAACAAAATCGATGAGAGTTTGTAACCAACAATGTCGCTCCCTTTATCATTGCAACAGCAGCTATAGAGGAGGTAAATAATTTTACTTACTTGGGGTAGTTTAATCTCAACCAACGCAAGTGCAGAGCAAGATATTATCATAAACAGAATAAACAAGGCCAAAATAATATTTGGAATGCTCAACAATATATGGTGATCTAGACAATACTGTCAACTTACCAAACTTAAAATTTTCAATTAAATGTCAAGTCAGTATTGCTGTATGGTTCAGAGACATACACCGCTGTCTACGCAAATCAGAAACCAAAAAAAAAAACGCGAACATCAGAAATGAGGATATATGGAAGTTACCATCCAGAGGCAGGTGGATAATGAGATCAAACTGAGGAAATGGAGGTGGTTTGGTCACTGGCAGAGCTATTGAGTGGAACCCATCAGGCAGTAGATGAACTGGTAGTCCAAGACACACATCGCAAAGAACAATCAAAAAGGAGATTGGAGCAGTAAACCGATCATGTCAAGTCAGTTGCAAACAACCGAACCCGCTGGAGAACCTATACTGAAGCCCTATGCTCCACGTAGGAGTAAAGGATAAAATAAAAAATTGGCGCCGGGAGGCACGTATAGCCGCCCATACTAAAATATGTTAATATCTCGAAAACTGCGACTTTGACTGATTTTAATGTTATTACAAATTTTGTTGCAAATATTATTCCTAATCTTAATTTGAAAACCGCGTTTCGCTAGCTACTGTAATTTTGGAGTTTTTTTTAAATTTTTAACCCCCTCCCATACCACCTTACCAACCCCCACCCCCACCAAAAACTAATGGCCAGATTCTCGGATGCCACAGTTTTTTGTGCCAAATTTGGTTAAAATCGGTTCAGCGGTTTTTGAGTTATCGTGTTACAGACGGACAGACAGACAGACAGACACCATGAAAATATTTTGTATTTAGGTCATTTATGACCCAAGTAACTCATTTTGAGTGAAATTAAAAAACTTTTTTTTTGCCGATCCTAATAGCCGATCCTTTAGCCGACCATACCTGTTGGTATGGTCGGCTAAAAATAAGTATTGAATATTTCAAATTATACAATCTCAAAAAAAACAAAATTGTTGTATAAATTTCCAGCTATAATAGTATAAAAGTGCAAGCAAGACAGTTAGCAATGAATTCACTCTACAGAAATCATATCAAAACATCTGCAGGTAATAGCATTTAAGATATTTTATAAAGATGGCTGCTTTGAATCATGTAGAATGAAAAATGATAGCTGGCCTTCTATTATAATTGCTTCCTATTGAACACATTTAAAATTTTGACTCAAAGATTTATTAAGTTACAAGATAATATTATTTTGAATTTATTAACCATAAAATAATAAGGTAAATAATGTTTTTTCTTACCCTGATGACTTCCGGACATGCGTAATGGGGTGAGCCGCAACTTGTTTCCAACATGGATCCCATCGGCTGTAAGGAGGCCATTCCAAAATCCGCTATTTTTATATTGTTTTTCTCATCGAGCAGCAGGTTTTCAGGTTTTAGGTCTCTATGGCTGAAACATATAATCATAAAAATTACAACATTTGGAATGCAATGGAATGGAATGTTGGAAGTTATACAGAATGTCTTAAATAAGTGCAAATATTTTCAGGGCTGGTAGATCTCGATAAAAAAATATATTTTTCTTACCGTTTTTCAAATAGGTAATACTTTCAAATAAGTAATAATACTTTGAAAATTTAAAAAAATTGACTTTTTGAGAACCACTCGTCCTTTTCTACGTTTTCTTTCTTCTAAATTTAATCTACTGTCTGTGTTGCCATATTATGAACAAAAAAAAATTACAAAAATTCCAAATTTTCATTTTTTTTCGCGAAAGAAAGCTCATAGACATGTTTCTGGAGTAGACATGTTTCGAAATATACTACCCTAAAAATATTTGAACTTATTTAAGTCTCACCCTGTATATATCCCGTTATCAGGTAGATCCTAAAATTAAACACCCTAAGTAATATTTTCAAAATGTTTCCTAAACTCCTTATGTAAGGATTTAAATATTTTAACTAGTTCTTTTGTGGAATTGTAGAACAATTTTTAATAACATAATATGCTGAGAGACTGAAAATATACTTTAAAAAAAGTAAAACAGCACAAGATCTTGAAGATTTGTTTTTCCATTAGTATTATTTTTAGTAAACATTTATTTGCATATTTTAATAGCTACAGATAAAGCATGTTCTCGAATGATAATAGATAAATAGCTTGTGAAATAGCCATTTCATGGTGCAGTTAATAGGTATTAGAACGCGAGTTTAAGTGCAAATTACTTTAAAATTATGCAAATTTGACTGCCGTTCTGGTAATTTCGGTAACTTTCTACTACTGTCGTAATGTATCAGACTTTAGGCGAGTAATATGGATAGTTAACTTGTCAACAATGGTTATCTATGACAGTTGTTAACCGAGACCTTTATATCTTTGTTTTTTTTTTGTATTTTTTATACTTATACTGGAGACGTAAGTAAATAAACCGAGATAAGACTCACCAGGTTTTAAAATTAACGTATATACTTTGTTCATCTAACCGCTAATCGTTAAGCTAACCGCTAAAAATAAAAACATCTCGACAGCGCGAAGATGCGACTGTCCTCGTTACATCTTGAACGCCGCCGAACACGAGCCAGTGTCAGCAAACTTTCCGGCCGCGATTACGTCTCCCGTTTGCTATTTTAGTCGGTGGGTGATGCGGTTTTTTAAACACATCTAGTATAAAAAAATATCGTCGCGCGTCGCGGTGACCTGAGTGCCGATTCTGAGTGCGACTGTAAAATAGAAGTAATGTTGCAATAATCTTTCAGTTCTATGATGTATTCAGAAAAATTAAAAATTATTGAAGAAGGACCTCCAAAGCATATTTTGAATATTAATACTAAATTAAAATAGAGTAAATATATTGGAGTAAATAAGGTTTATACATACCAGATAGAATGGCTGTGGCAAAAATCTAATGCTGATATTATTTGGCGAAAGAATCTACGGGCTTCTTTAGGTGTTAGACGGCCTTTCTTCACTAGATAGTCGAATAGTTCGCCGCCAGAGACGTGTTCTAATACTAAATACCTTAAAATATTAAAATAAGTAATTTTGTAATTTTGTACTTTCCATGAGAAGAAATTACTTACAAATATTTTTTATTTTCGTAAACATCCGTCAGTCCTAGGACGTGAGGATGGTCTATTAGTTTCATTATAGCTATTTCTCGTTCCACCTGCAAACAAATTCATTTACATAAATTAAAATTAAATTTCACAAAATATAACCCGAGTTTTTAATTGTTAAATTTGTTATCCGTAGCTTTCATAACAAAAATTGTTCCATCAAATTGAAGTTTTCAAACGCAAATATCAACAAGAAAAGAATTTAAACTAAAAATTAAAGGCAAAAATAAGAAAGTGCGAATAATATCTACAAAAGTTATGCAAATATTAATGGATATCTATCAATTTATCTGTTAACGTCTAAAGCTATCTTAATCATACAATTGTTTCCTCATATGGCAATTTGACAACTATAGCTTTTAGAGAAAACGGCATCCCAATAAAAAAAATGGCTTTATTTTTTTATTCAAGAAGTAATCTTGATTTTAAATGTATAAAAATAACATATTATTAAAATATAAAGATAAAAAAACGAGATTTGGTATGTTAGTATATGACATAAATTAGGATTGACTGACGTATTCAATTGTTTTCGGTCACTTCCTGTTTCACCAGAAATGACAACAACTTTTGATTTTTAAATGGCACCTTCTCTATATTTCTACTTTATTCGATAGAAAATGACATTCTGAATGGAATACCATATGTCAACTTTTGACATTCTGGCTTAAAAAATATCATAATTTATATTTTAAATTTCAATGTAGATTATGTAGAGTGTCATGGCTGACTAATTTTTAAACACTAAAAACAAAAATCAAGGAGCTTTGGAAAAATATATTTGATCGTCAAACGTTTTTCGTGTCTTGTCTGGGTCGGTTAAGAGATACCCAAATCGCATTTTTAATCATATCTCAGTTTTTTCAAATAGGACAAGGATGGCTCATTAGCATATTATTTGGAAAAAAACATTTTTTTACGAATAATTTGGTACCACACACTTGGTATTTCGGGTCAAACTGTAGATACGAACCGCATATTACAATTTCAAATGAACCATATGCAAAAATGTCTAAAGTTGACATATGATATGTCATTCTATTCAAAGTGTCATTTTCTATCGAAAGAAAAGCAGAAAAGTACTTTGCCAGAATGGTCCTGGCAGCGTCCTGGCAGCCTAGGCAACGCAACTCTCTCCTGAAAAGGAGAGTTTGAGAAGAAAGAAGAAGAAGAAGTATAAATATACCGAGGGTGCAATTTAAAAATAAAAAGTTGTAGTCATTTCAGGCAAAACAGGAACTGACCAAAAACAATAATTTTATACGTCAATTAATCTTAATTTATGTCATATATTAAATAGCAAATCTCTTTTTTTTATCTGAATAAGTAAGTTATAGGAGTGAGCCACTTTTGAGACGCACCCGGTATATCGATCAACAATGGGTACACTCACTGAATTTGACACCCAATGCCAGTTTAATAATATATTATTGTACTTTGGTGCTTTGCTTTTGTGCTTAGGCGTAAAAGTGTTTTGGTTTGGTTTACTTTTGTGCCTAGGCGCTAAAATTACCTTTTTATATTGTCAATCACGTAGCAAAAGTTAATATTTTTGTGTCGTTTGAAATAACAGATTTGTTTTATCAATAAAAGGAAACAATAAAAAATACTTTTTTTAAAAGCAAATGAAAAATATTGAAAACGTTGTGATATATTTCAATTTAAATTACCTTAAATAAGTGATTACATCAACTGTTAAATCATTAAAAATATTCTCTACCGTTCTAAGTTAAAATTAACGTAGATTTTGGTTTGTACTCACCTTCATCAAAACGCTCTCGCTCAATTTTTCCCTGTTAATAATTTTAATCGCTACTTTCTTTCCAGTGACGCATTGCACCCCCAATTTAACCAGTCCTGAAACAAACAATAGTTTTATTTAAAGCGAAGGTAATAATGGCGAAACTCTCAATAGAACACAGAATAGCAGATTCTGTTCAACGTATCCTCACTAATGACTTTTTTATTTGGAGGACAATCGATATTATGAACACAAAATCCTTCGAGATTGGAACTGTTCCTAGGATTATACTGTTTAGTTCAAAATCATTAGTGTAATTGGAAGAAAGTTAAACCTATACAGGGTGTCTCAAAAATAAGTGCAAGTATTTTAAGAGGTGGTAGATCTGGTCAAAAGAAACATTTTTTCTCTTTACCGTTTTTCAAATCCAAAGTAACCGAATAATTTTACTTTGAAAATTACCAAAAAAAAATAATTATTTGCTAAAATTTTGAGAACCACTGGATCTTTTCTGGATTTTCTTTCATGTAAATAGTATGCTACTATGTTGCCATATTATCAAGAAATTATCTTTTTTAACTTAGTTGTAACTTAGAACTAAAAAAAATTCCAAATTTTTTTTTCAAAAATTCCAAATTTTCAATTTTTTTTTTGTAAAAAATACCTCATAGGTGTATTTCTGAGCCCGAAATATACTACCAGTTAAAATACTTGCACTTATTTCTGGACACCCTGTATTATGTGCTCTTATATTAAATACAATAATGTCTTTAAAGTCCTACGTTATACTAAACATATAATATTTACTAATTTTGTTATACCCCAGTCAAAATAGACATTTCAATTAATAATAATTCGCATAGAGCTGAAAATTGGTACAGGTTTTAAATACACTATTATAAATGATATCTGAAAAACCCCACCCCTCCCATATCGACTAAAAAAATTATTCAATGTCAAAAGTCAAAAATATGTTTTTTTTTTTGCTTTTTTTCTCCTAAACGGTAAGCGCTATCGCACAAGTACCTTAAACAAATGTTGTAGACCATTAAATTTTCTACAATAATGGTTCTTATATTTTTTTCGTACGAACCACAATTCCTGAGATATGGCGATCAAAAGTTGAAAAACTCATATTTTTCATAATATGCACACATTTCCGCACCACCTATGAGGTAGTGTACTTGGCGCGTTTTTTTAACGTGATTTCCCTTGTAGGCCTTGTTCACGATCTATTGCCCCCAGTTAATTTTTATTACACATTATACTATTAATTTTAAAAACGGTGCTCTTGGTAATGATTAATCGAACGGATTATAGTTCATTTTGGGAGAATTTTAATCTGAGTGGTAATCTTCAAATGATACTTCAACAGTAATGTCTTCTTCGCATTCTTCTTTCTCATTATCTTGCGGTATATCTGGAAATCCATCTATGACAGATGCATTAGTTGTCTCCTCATCAAAATCCTCATCTGTATTTAAGTCAATATTGGAGTAAGACTGACCTTGACAATTAGTACATATTGGTGTACAAAAAAAAATCCGACTCTTTTACAACCACAGTTTGCGCTACAACCCTTTTTGCAATTGCAAAAAATTGTGTTAAGTAGTTTTTCTGGAGCAGGTGGAAGTAAAGTTTTAATCAGCTCCAAAGTATTATCTATAAATTTCCATCCCCAGTCTTCTGGGTTCAGTTGATTGCCTAGCCACAATTGAACTTGATAGTATACACGATATAAGTGTTGACAGGCAGAAGCAGATGTTGGAGGAAGACAAGAAAGTTGTACCATTTTGTTATTCCGAGTATTTTTAACAAAACTTAAATATCTATACTTGCCTATTGAGTCAATTTTTTTTGGACTACCATATAGGGCAAGAAGCAAGCGAATTCCACTTGTGATGATGACTTGTGGAGAAGAGTCAATCTTTTTGAATACGTCTGCGCAGACACTACTGTTGAAGTTATCATTTGAAGATTACCACTCAGATTAAAATTCTCCCATAATCAACAATAATCCGTTCGACTATAATCATTACCAAGTGCACCGTTTTTTTAAATTAATAGTATAATGTGTAATAAAACTTAACCACAATAGATCGTAGACTAGGCCTACGGGGGAAACCACGTTAAAAAAACGCGCCAAGTACACTACCTCACAGGTGGTGCGGAAATGTGTGCATATTATGAAAAATATGAGTTCTTCAACTTTTGAAATCGCCATATCTCAGGAATGGGGGTTCGTAAGAAAAAAGTGTAAGAACCATTATTGTAGAAAATTTAATGGTCTACAACATTTGTTTAAGGTTCTTTTGCGATAGCGCTTACCGTTCAAGAGAAAAAAGCAAAAAAAACATATTTTTGAGCTTTGACATTAAATACTGTTTTTAGCAGGCGTGGGAGCGATGGGGACTTTTCAGATATCATTTATAACAGTGTATTTAAGACCTGTCCCAGTTTTCAGCTCTATGCGAATTATTGTTATTTAACCCCCTTTTTTTGTTTATTTTGACTGGGGTATTAATATTATTCATTTAATAAATATAATAATGTGACTTAGGTGTTTCAGTAGCTTATCTTGTATTTTTGTTATTAAAACTTATCTATTTCTATTAGAAATACATTTTTTTAACAATTTTAATAACTAATATCATTTATTGACAGTGTAAAAGAAAACCAACAAATTATTGAGTCTATCCTACATTGTATTTTACACTTTTTATATAAAATTAGCGAGGACCTGATGAACCGAAATTTAGGAGAGCCATATTAATCCACCTAAGTTTGTCGATATGCTACTTCCTTAATAATTTTATTCAAAGTAAAACACCAATTCAAAGGAAAACACCAAGTTTACAATAGTAGAAGATCGATAATAAACATCGATATTTTATATAGTTTCAAAAATATTGATTGCATTCTTAATGTTTATACATATATCTGTTTATTTGATGAGCAACTATTTTTAGGAGTAGTATATTTCGACCCCAGAGAGCACGCCTATGAGGTTTTTTCGCAAAATTTTTTTTGGAAAATTTGGAATTTTTGAGAACTTGTTTAATTATTTCTAGTTAAAAAACACGATATCTTCATAATATGACAACATATGTAGTAGATTAAATTTACAAGAAAGAAACCCCATAAAATATCCACTGGCTCTCAAAATTTAAGAGAAAAATCATTTTTTTTTGGAAATTTTCAAAATAAAATATCTCGGTTATTTTGGACGTATTTGAAAAACGGTAAAGAGAAAATATGTTTCTTTTATCAAGATCTACCAACCCTGGAAATATTTACACTTATTTAAGACTCACCCTGTATAGACTCACATTTTTTTTGCGCCAGGGCCTTTGGCATTTTACATAGCTTTGCGACTGAAAAATACCCTGTGTCTCACATGCATGTCTATTTCAATCAACTCAGTTAGTGCTTTTTGTATGTTTACACAGCAATTGAGTTTTCAAAATGAAAACTGAGATCAAAATTGTTCCCCCGCTTGAATCCTTCATCCTTTCAGTTCTCTGTCATACTCGTCATATTCTAATTAAGGTACGAAGACAAAAAGAAGATCCAGTGGAGAACTCTCAAACAATGGGAAAGGGAAATGACGAGAAGTCGTTATATCTGTGTAATCAGTCCAATGGCGTACATATATATTATTGTATATTATTTTTTCAATAGATGAAGATTTTAAAAATAAACATTTTTTGTTTTTAGGTATTTCAAAAATTTTAACGGTTTCACAGATATTCGCGGTTTTATATTTCATATGGCATTTTCCACAGTAAATTTTTATCTAAGCCACCCAATGAGTTTTCTATCGTATTTTACCGTTGAAGCAGCCATATAAAATAATACTGCGTGTATCTGCGAAACCATTAAAAATTTTGAAATACTTGAATACTTTGAAATACAAAAATTTTCAATTTTTAACTTTCCATCTCATAAAAAATAATATACAATATACAGAGTATTCCATTAAAAAAAACAAAGAAAAGTTATTTTATATTTTAGAAAGTTTTGGTGTAGAAGTTTGAACATCCTGTATTATTTAAGATTACGATTACGATATTTATAGTAAAGTAAGTATAGACCATTTAAAGTTAATATCTATTATAGTTTTGATTTTAGGACAGTTCTTGTATTTGTAATAATTTTTTAAGGAGGGTTGAAAAAAATATATATTTTATTTATTTAAAAATATCTCTGAAATTATCGAAATGTATTTACTCATATCTCAGGATTATCTAAAGTGATCTGAAAGGAAACCAAAAATGCAATAATATACAGGGCGTTTCATTAAAAATCATCTCGATCCACTCACACTTTTTTGAGCCACCCTATAGAAGTTAAAATATTTTCTTGAAATACATCCTCGTACATACTTTAGGTTTGCAATTAAACAAAATTCTCAAGTTTTTTATTCTAGGTGCAGATGCCCGATGCACTATTGTCGGAGCCTGTAAATCTATTGTGTTTCCCTTTCTTGAGTTAGAACTTATCATACAGTCTCAGGACGTTGATAAAAGCCAGTATCGGAGACTGTTTTATAGAAGTTAGTTCTCAATCTCCGATATCAGTCGTACCAAAGTTCAGAGCACGAATGGTTATCATCTCGGCGCACTCAGTGATGAGGTATTCTGGGATGAGGGTTTTCCCATTTTCCCCACAGAATCTGCATTCACCGTTGTTTATTAGCTTCAATTTCCTGAGATGTACGTTGAGGAGACAGTGTCCTGTTGAAACCCCGTGACAATCCAAAGATTTTTCTTACTTAAATCAAAAAAAATCTTCAGTCTGGTCAGTGATGATTTTACTATGGAGTCTTCAATGTTTCCCTCAAGCCTATTTTTTAATGTAGTTTTTAGAGGTTTTTTTACCACGTTGATGTCCAGAGGATGGAATAAATACATTTCGAAAGCTTGACCATTAACAAAGTGTATTAATTCTAGTCCAAACCCCACTAGTTCCTAGATTTTCTTTAAATACATTCCTATATATATAACATTTTCTATACGCTTATAAACTCATTGATATTCTTCATGCAAGCCACGATATATTTATCTCACCTCCCTTGATCGATTATTAATGTAGGAAATTGCAAATTATACAACGT